AACCATAAAATGTCATCAAAATAATGTGTTTAAAATCGAATCACAACACCCCAACAACAACAAAAAACCATCGTCGAAGAACGCAAGAAAATTCATCCTATCAACACATATATAAAAAAATATCTCTGAAATAACAGAATAGATTATTGAAACCTTTTGAAATAGACATAGCACACAAACCAGCTAGCAAACTAGCACGCATTTATATACAATGATTTTGTGTGTGTGTGTGAGTGTGTACATTAGGATTGTTAAACAAAAAAATAAAGATTAATGTTCGAGTTACTGTTAACGTCATCAAAATATTTCAAAAATCTGGTGAATAGTCAAATTGTAATTGGGGATGCGGGGGGAGGGAGAGTGGTGAATATTGGTAACTATTGACAAGGGTTGCATAATATATGAAAGATACCCAGAAAAATAGGATGTTAATGTATGAAGATGAAGACATGTGTCCGAAATAAATTATGTAATAGGTAGGCAGAGTAAATAAAAGAGTGGTTAAGAAAAAGATATTGCCAAGACATCATACAAAGATTCAGAATAAGCCGTATTAAAATTGTAGTAATGTAACAATAGAAGACAAGGGCCAGGCCAACAGATCGTTTATTTAGGAAAGACAGTCTCCTGATTGGTAGTTTCTCACTGAAAGTTAATCTTTCATCTCTTTGTGGCCGTTGATTGAAGTTCAGATTATCTATCTGCAAATTGTATCCGCCCACGCAAAGTGTGCTGTAATTGGTCGTTGTTGAGTCAGTCTTTGTTCTTATTTTTCTTACGACCAATATTGGAGACGTAAACACTGATGTAAATTACTGTATCTCACCACAGTAGAACTTGGAATTACACTTAGACTTTGCATTGAAGTACTGGTGGTATGAGTCTAGAATTGCTGACTTAAAACGTTTGGACTCCTCTTCAGAGACTGGGAAAAGATCACCAGTCTGATTGATCAAATTCTCGCACTCAACATACGTATGAAGTTTGCTAAGGTTTTGGTTCATGTCGCATAACTTCGGCTTGACAGACAAGACCTCCACTTGTATCGGAAGAAAAGTTACTGAAAAATGATTAAACAAAAATTTTGAAGTATCTTCTGGAAATTTGCGTCGTGTTAACATCCTTTTTTCTGGGTGTCTTTCATATTACGCAACTCTTGTCAATACTTACCAATCTTCACCCCCACCCCCCTAGTTATGATTTGATTATTCCTTGCATTTTCGAAACATTTTGATGACGTAAGCAATAACCCTAAATAGTCTTTATTTTTGTTTAATAATTTTAATGTACACACACATACAAAAAATTGTTTGATCGGATGGAGGATTTCATCATGAGTTAAAGAACCACTGGAAAACCTGCAGGGAGTACTGGACAGTCGTGGTTCTCTTACTGAAGACATTTAACTGTTGCCATCCGGCAGTAAAATTCACTCTTGAAATGGAAAACGAATAAAAAATTCCGTTTCTTGATGTGGAACTAACAAGAAGAGGTGATGGAAGTCTAAGAAGATCGATTCATAGGAAAGCTACTTGGAATGGTCAACTAACAAGCTACTATAACTGGGTAGCCATTCAACAAAAGCGGAATTTAATTAAATCACCTACCACCCGCATCCGACGCATCTGTAACCCCGACGTTATGAAAAACAGATTTAGGTATTCTAAGGGAATCTTCATCGAAAATGGATACCCAATAAGATTCATTGACAAAAATATCAAACCAAGAATTCGGAGAAACGAAACTTTAATTGCGCTTTAAAAGAAACTCTACACGAACTTGGATTTCAAGAGAGATCTAACAAGCAATATTCTCAAGAGAAGAATCACACCATCTCTGAGAGGAACATTCTTTGCAGCAACTCTAAGAATAGTGTTCTCCAGTCGCCCACTCATCTACAGAAGCCTCAAGGACAAGATCCCGCATCTGACCAGTTCTATGTGCACATATCAGTTCACCTGTTACTGTCGAGCCAGGTACATCGGTCGTTCGACGCTCACCCTGTCCAAGAGGATTCAAGAACACTATCCAACGTGGTTGCATAATGGCAATAGTGGTGGAATAAGGACTGCGATAATTGAACACCTGGTTAACACTGATCATTCCATTTCAACAAACGCCTCCTTCAAAGTAATCTACAGACTCAGGAATAACCTACCAAACGCAATACGGTTTCGTCTTCTTTGTATCGCTGAAGCCCTGGCAATTCACATAGAAAAACCGGAGCTATGCACACAAAAGAGAATTACTAAACCACTTCTACTGTCAGGGTAACAACTTTATTGATTTTGATGACTTAATTTTGTTTGTCCGCCTGTTCTTTAATTGCTTATAATTCTTGTATTCATTCAGAACTCTTACGTAATTTCCTATTATCTACTTTGTTCCTCTGTGTATCCTGAGTAAAACTCAATCACCGAATTATTCATATTATTACATAACTTCTTTATAACAACTGTTGATGACAACTCATCACCTTTGTTACTACCATGATCTCATTAACATCTAAGTTTAGATATGATAGAGAAGATTTGTAGCTCAGGTGGATGATATTGATGTGGTTTTGTTCTCTGAGCTGGATGGTTAGTTTGCCAAGCTTTCATCACCCATACTTCAATTTGAAGTATGCGCTGAAGATGTCACCCAGTAGGGTGATGAAAGCTTCGCGAACTAACCGTCCAGCTCAGAGAACAAAACCACATCAAAACACACCTAAGTTTCGTCACTGATTTTGTATCACGCAGCTCCAATTACCAATCTTCCCCTGTTTAGTTAAAATAACCATAACCAATTGTAATTTTGTTTGACAAATTTAGTGTACATATACATACAAAATAACACACGTATGTATTTGCGATTGTACAGGTAAGGAAATGAATTTGCCGAAAAGAGACTTTACGCTGAACTTGAAAATTAATCTGATTTTCACTAGCCACTGGCCCTATTCGGGCAGTGACCTGGGGTTCTAGTGTGAAGTCATGACCAGTAGGGTACAGCAGGTGGTTGAAGGTGAGCCAGTAACTCATCGAAGAAGACATTGGAAAGTCGTCGCGCTTTATCATGAATTGGCAGAAGTTGGAATTCATGGGCTGGCCATCGGATCGTGTGCCAGTGGCTCAATGGTCTACGGGGATCTCTGGCCTTCTAACCAGGTCCTTTTTTCAGCCAACTCTGGGGTAGGTGCGTACTGACAAAACAGCTGTCCGGCACTCCCTGTAGGTTTTCAGTGGTTCTCTCACTGATATCAGCTCATGATGAAATCCTCCATCGAATCTTTTTTTCATTTAATATTTTCCTTATACTTTTGCGTTTATTTATTTCAGTTTTTAATGAATAAAAATTAGTTCCCTTCATGAATTTAGATAAAGCAATAAGAAGACGTAATTTGTCTGAATCGTGTAATGTTGTATTTGCGCCACACATTTCGAACAATCTGACCCATCACACACGGACTTGTCATAGGTATGACTATATATGAAATTAATAAAGAGTTAAGAGGTGAGAAAACAGACCACTTAGGTCAAGTCAGAAAGGCATATTGAAGGTCAAAATAACACTGAAGATCACTAAACCAAATAGCACAGGTAATGATACATCTGGTCTGGTATCAAAACAAAATTTACCAAGGAAGGTTAATTGTCATGACGAATTGTTGCTTTGATCTCATAAATCTGGTTTCAACTTCCTAATTGCCATATAAGTATAAAACTTGGGCACTGTGGTAGAGTATAATTCCATTATAGATAAGATTTTTATTTTGATAAATCGCACAGTGTTTACAGTTATATGAACTATGCCAACTAGGGCTTCCACAAACTTTAGGAAACGCCTTCTTCCTAACACGTTTTATAGACAGGTTTAAAAGATCTGTTAACGTCAGTCATATGTCTTGTCTCTATAATATGTTTCGCAATAGAAGAGGTAGATATCCTGTTCTCACCGTTAATAGGTTCTGAAGATTCCATTTTTTTCTGGAGCCATTTAGGAATATGCTCTGAAGCCAGCCCTTACTTGCAGAGATCGATGAGTCCTCCCTACATGTATGTGTGTCCACACGTACATTCAAATTGGTAAATACAGTGGGATGTGACATCATTTTTTGCACGTTCGAAGGGCTTAGATAGATATACTGGCTTTACATCGTCTATTATTATGATATTAGCTGCATAAAAAGTCTTTTTGACCGCAGCAACTTTCAGTCTTTGTCTAGTTATCAAGCTGCTTTGATGTCCCATATAGGGTAGCTTGATGTACGCGTCTTTCTTAGGGGCGAGTTGGAGAGTGGGTCTTGGTGTTCTGACTACTTTATATCTCCTGATGAACTTGTCTGGATAATTGTTATCAACCAGAGTTTGTGTCAATATTCTTTCTTCTTCATCAAGCGTGTCTTCAGTGCATATTCTTTGGATTCTACTGAAGAGGCGCCTTACTAAGGCTCATTTGTACCTAACAGGGCAGAAACTGTGGTAATTGAGATACTGTCCTGTCCAGGTAGGTTTTCTATAAATAGATCTTTTTATTGACCCATCAAGGCATCGACTAAGCAATATGTCTAGCAAAGATAAACGATTATCTTCCTCTTTTACAGATGTAAGTGATATACTGCTATTCTGAACTTCATTCATTCGATTTAAAATTAAGGTGGCAGAACAAGGCTTATCACTGATGCCTACGATATCATCTACATACCTTCTATAAAAGTGGCACATTTTCGATTTAATCATTCAATATGAATATGTCCTTTTAACTTGACCTTAGTGGTCTATTTTCTCACCTCTTACCTCGTTATTAATTTCATATATAATAATCATTCCTATGACAAGTCCGTATGTGATGGATCAGATTGTTCGAAATGTGTGGCGCAAATACAACATTACACACACTTGATTCAGACAAATTACGTCTTCTTATTGCTTTATCTTAATGAATAACGTTAAAAATTGAAGAAGAAAATAAACACTCTGCATTTTGGATTATTTCTCTTTTTTTCTTTTGCTTAGACCTTGTTTCAATTCATGTGTTGAATTACTGGAACAGTGTTCATTGTATTTACTATCTGGACATCAATCAAAAGAAGTTTTCACTTCAAAGACATCTGATAGTAATAATAACAATCATCTATCTACAGGGAACATCAGGAATCAAAGACCACAACATTTTTCACAATGACTGTCAGTATTAACCAGGAGGAGTAAGTACCATGCTAGATCTACGTGTACAAACTGAGCAAATGTGAAGTGAGAGAGAGAGAGTTGAATAGTAGGCTACGTGGCAAAGTATTATTATCTTTCCCAGTTGTACATGTATGTATGTATGTATGTGTACCTTATGCCTTAGGAAGTGTTTAGAATTCATTATTATTATTATTATTATTATTAAGGTAATCTACTTTATCCTGGTTACTTTATTCCACTGCATAGCCTGCAATGCATTTGTTAGTTTAATTAATTACATTTCATAAAAATACTTAATATTTTTCTTACACAGGATAATGTTTAAATATTGGAGAAAAATTTTGTATTATTTTTGTTTTGCTGAAATAAAGCGAATGTTGAGCACCTCCATTTCATTTAATAATGCTTCTTATTATATATATTATGAAGGAGTCGAGTCCTGTGGGGGGTGATCATTGTATTTACAGACTTAGTTAATCTAGGTTAATTAGTGCGTAAGTGGTTCAAGAATAAAATAATGGCCTTCTGTGTACATTACCCGTCGAGGAAAGCGATGGCTAGGGATGCATACGTTGCACATGTCCTAACCATTTGAGTCGATGTAACTTCACAGCCTCGTCGATTGATTTCCCCGCCCACTTACCTAGTGCCCGACCGAAAGCTGCTAGCTTGACGTGGTGGTCGGGCTTGAACACCGCAATGACCTAATCAAGCTATACTGGCTGAGACTTATGTCTCTTGAGGTTCTACCATGCCAGGCAGGTTGTTTGGATAGCGGTTAAACAAAAAGCAGCTACCCCATCCAATACCATGATTCAAACAAATTCACAAAATTTCATGCCGGATCGGCCGTGGCCCGGATTAACAACGACCGCGCTTCCTGCTGCCGTGTCACAGGGCAGGAGTGATAAGTATGCTACTGAGGCACACCAAACAAAAGAGAACAAACAAAAACAGGCCGCGTGTGACCGGCCTCAAGCAGTTGTCCCCTGGGCTCTGCGGTCACGCAACCAACTTCCACGGTGTGGGCAGCCGGGAAGTAACAATCGCCCTCACAATCCGAAATGCACACAAAACCTCTCTAATACTCACTTATCTTTGTCTTCATCTTCATCTCTATTACCTTGCCTTCCTCCCACTGATGCAACTCCTCTACTTGATGGCTCCTCACTCTGTGTCCACTAAAAACGACGGAAGCCAAAAAACCACCACCGATAGTCTCCTAAAGCCACGCCACCAATTTCATATAGGAGCATTTAATGTTAGGACACTTTGCCAAATAGGACAACAAGCATCACTAGCTAAGACCCTGGCATCCCGAGCCATTGATGTATGTTGTGTTTCAGAAACACGCATACAAGACCCAAGTGTGGTTATTCACCTAACCCCACCTGGCCAACAGGTTGAATCTTCAAAATTCACCTTGAGGGTGTCAGGAGATGCCACAGCTAGTTCACGAGGATTAGCTGGCGTAGGGATAGCTTTGAGTACTAGGGCAGAAAAGACATTGCTTGACTGGATCCCAGTAGATAGCCGAATGTGTGCTGTCCGTCTGAACGGATCAGTAAGAAGGAGAAAGGACTGCACTACTCGCCGATGCCTTTTCGTAATCTCCGCCTACGCCCCCACTGACTGCAGTTCGGATGAAACGAAGGATGAGTTCTACCAAAAGCTGTCTAGTTTGGTGAGAAAGGCTAAACGCTCAGACATAGTCGTTCTAGCTGGTGACTTTAACGCTCAAGTAGGGAAATTGTGTCAATCTGAGAAGGATGTCGGTGGCACCTATGGAGTTCCGTGCCAGCGAACCGACAACGGTGACCGTCTCCTACAGTTCTGTTCTGATAATCATTTGTTTCTTGTAAGCACTAACTTTAAACACAAGGAGAGACACTGTTTAACCTGGCGACCCCCATCATCAAACCAACGCTGGACACAAATAGACCACATAGCAATAAGCTATCGTTGGCGTGGGTCGGTAGGAGATTGTCGCTCCTTCTGGAACACGTGTGTAGATACCGACCATGCACTGGTCCGCGCTCGTGTGTGCTTACGACTGAACGGACGTAGGAAACAGCTGGCGGTAAAACCATCACGTCCCCAGCTCGATCAGGAAACTAAATCCCTATTTGAGGAAGAACTAGCTAAACGCATATCTGAGTTCGACAGCTGTGCTCACCCTGAAGAAGCTTGGAAAAATATTCAGTCAGCCATAGATACAGCTGTAAAAGCTGTGAATAAGGCAAATCCAAAGGTGAGTAAAAACCACTGGATTTCGACTGCCTCATCCGAACTGATAGATGCTAGAAGACTTATTCCGGCGAGCTCCGAATTCAATGAGGAGCGAAAGCTGCACAAAAGGAAACTTACTAAAAGTCTCCGCAAGGACCGTGAACAGTGGTGGGTGACAAAGGCGAAAGAGATGGAAAAAGCATTGGCGATAGGCAACACTAGGCAACTTTTTTTGTTTGGTGTGTCTCAGTAGCAGATTTACTGAGACACACACACGACGAAGTCGTGAAGTTACAAAGACTGAGATGGTTAGGACATGTGTTACGTATGCCAAGCCATCGCCTCCCTCGACGAGCAATGTTAGCGGATATAGGGTCAGGCTGGAAAAAAGCTAGTGGCGGTCAAACAAAAACTTGGCTGCACCAGTCAATGAAATCCACAACAGTTGGTCTAAGCCACGTAGGAAGGTGTAGACTTCCAGGCTGAGGTCCTCGAGACGGTAAAAATCTATGGTTGGAAACAATTGGTGACATGGCTCAAAATCGTTCTCAGTGTCTGGCGCAAATGCATCCACTCCTTGTGACTTATGATCTCCAATGAAGCTGTTTTGTTTTTCTTTATTACTCCTCCTTTGTCACACCTTTGCTCATTGTCTCTATTATGCTTTTCTTGTACTTTCTTCTCTTGCTTCGCGTGCTACACGGAGTGTGGCGACTTGAACTTCCGCACATTTGTGCAAAGTTCTATGTCGAAAACAGACAGACAGACACTAGGCAACTCTTTAGACTCATCAGGGAAACGGGTGGGAGAAGGCAAATCATAAGTGAGACTATTTCTGAGAAAAATGGCTCCTTAATTAGCTCACAGGATAGACGCCTTCGACGCTGGAAAGAATACTTTGAGGGACAATTTAACTTGCCTACAGCCACACTGAATCTCCCCGACATCCACCACACACCCGAATGGGATATAGACACTGGTCCGCCGTCTGTAAGTAAGGTCACAAAAGCTATCAGTAATTTGAAACGAGGCAGAGCGGCAGGACCCGACGGAATTATTCCGGAGGTGTTTAAATATGGTGGTGACACACTAGTTTGTAGATTAGCTGAGATACTAGGCAACGTCTGGGAATCAGAGACAGTGCCATCAGACTGGGGTAAGTCACTTATTATACCGATATTCAAGAAGGGAAACAAGTCCTCGTGTGATAATCATAGGAGGATCAGCCTAACGAACATAGTCTCTAAAATCCTAGGCTCAGTAATCATGCACAGACTAAGCAGAACTCGGGAGGAACAGACAAGGGAAAATCAAGCAGGCTTTAGACCAGGTAGAGGGTTCATAGATCATATCTTCACTCTTCGACAGATTCTAGAACATAGACACACTTTTCGGCGTCCAACAATTGTCACATTTCTTGACTTGAAGGCGGCCTTCGACTCCGTGGATCGAAAGGTACTATGGCAATGTCTGACTGTGAAGGGAGTGCCAAGAAAGTACATTGCACTAATCAAGCCACTCTATTCAAACTCACGTAGTCGTGTAAGGGCTTATGGGGAATTGTCATCTGAATTGGTAACAACCAGTGGTGTCCGACAGGGATGTCCACTTTCCCCATTTCTGTTTAACTTCATCATAGATATGCTGATGGAAGTATCCTTAACTGAACGTAACGACTTAGGAATCGACTTGTTACCAGGGAGTAGTCTTATGGACTTAGAATATGCAGATGACATAGTCCTGTTAGGGGAGGATTCTGACAAAATGCAGAGTCTTCTTAACATCTTGAGCAGCAATCTCCGTATGTTTGACATGCGATTGGCCCCTACAAAATGTAAGATGCTGCTACAGGACTGGACTACGTCAACTCCTAGCTTAGTGATAGGGAGTGAAGTGATAGAACATGTTGACCACTTCACCTATTTGGGAAGTTGTATCAGCACCAACGGACTGATTGGCGATGAAATCTCAGCACGGATCCGAAAAGCTCGAGCTGCTTTCGCTGGCTTACACCATCTCTGGCGTAGGCGTGACATCCGGTTATCAACCAAGGGACGTGTGTACTGCTCAGCAGTTCGCTCCGTCCTTCTCTATGGCTCTGAAACATGGCCAATACGCGTTGAAGACATGAAAAGGTTGACTTTTTTCGATCATAGATGTCTACGATCTCTTTCTCATGTTAGGTGGTATAGTAAGGTAAGTAATGTTGACGTTAGGCGTAGAGTGTTGGGCAAAAAGGGAAAATCAATCGACGAGGCTATAAAGTTACATAGATTGAGATGGCTAGGTCACGTGCTGCGCATGCCTAACCATCGCCTCCCCCGACGAGCATTACTAGCTGATATAGGTGCAGGTTGGAAAAGAGTAAGTGGTGGCCAAACAAAAACATGGCCTCATCAATCCATGAAATCCTTGACAGTTAAACTGAGTCAGGTAGGGAGATGCAGACTTCCGGGTTGGGGCCCTCGGGACTCTAGGAATCAATGGCTGGAGACAATAGGTGACATGGCTCAAAATCGTTGTCAATGGCCAGCGCAGGTGTGTTCAGTCTCCGTAATCTTTCATATTCCTTTCTACGATTACCCATTCTGTTTCATTCTTATACTTGTCAAACTCTATTGATTCTCTTCACTCATCTTCTTGTCTACCTCTGTGTGCTATTTGGAACGTGGCAACTCGAACTGGTGCACTTCGGTGACAAGTTCTATGTTGAATTCAGACAGGCAGACAGACTTACCTAGTGCTCGACCGATGCCTAACCTCAATATTGCTCACCCTATCATACCACCACTTCACACGGGAGATAGAACGCGCAGACACCTATGATCAAAGACAGCTAGCCAGCATTTTTACATCTTCCACTGTTAATGACCAGGTCTCACTCATAGCCATAAAGGAGGATGGAGCGGGCTGCTGCTGAGCAGTACACACGCTTTTTGGTCGATAACCAACCGGATATCACGTCTACTAAGCCAGAGACGGTGTAAACTCTGATTGACTGGTTGATAAAGTGAGTATAGCTTATATTCTACATGGATATTTATCCTGTGTAACCTTCACCTTCAGAAAGAAAGCAATTGTTACGAAAGAGTGATGTCCACAACTGCGAACACTGTAAACCACGGACGTATGCCGGAATATTTACTACTAGCACTTTAACAAGGTAGAGAGAGAACAACAAAAGTCATTAATGTAGTAAATACTCACTGAAAAAGCTATGCGAATATATAAACAGGATACACATAAGGTAAAATTAATCATTTGAAAAATAATCACTTTCTTACGGAAATAGTAGAGTTATAAAGCACTTTACAAATACAATACAATAGGCAGGTCTATTCAATGTTGATTAATGTCAGCATAGAACACACAGTGGGGGGCATAAAGATGCGTGTTTTGCACTATACAACTATGAGTAAAAAACTGTACACATTTCAAAGTTAATATATATTTACATAGTTTCATAATTTTTTCACAGCCTCTTCAATTAAATTATCCAAATTATCTGAATTATTTTCATCTTTAGCCCATTTAGGCAAAGGGGCAGAATAACACCAATCGGATCCACTATACCGATAAGCATGTAATCGTAATATAAGATGTTCCATCGTGGGATCTTTAAAAGTCAATTTACAATCTTCACATAACGGGTCCACAGATGATTGAAGACGAGTCAATACTCCAGGATCTAAAGATTTTTGTGAGCTTTCGTTTGTCTAAAGTACAAAAATGAAGTAAATATATGTATAACCAACAGCAATATAACAGTTAAAAGTCAATTAACAGAAAGTTCTGGTTTAGATGAAGCGGCATCATCCTCGAGAGAATCAAATAAACCCGTGATGAAAAGCGTCGACCGGAACAGGCTGGATTCAAGAGGACCAAGTCATGCATTTACCAAATCGCAGCACTGCGGATCATCACTGAACACAGCTTCGAATGGCAGTCATCTCTCCATCTCAACTTCATTGACCTTGGAAAGGCCTTCGACAGCGTCGATTGAGAGGTGATTTGGCAGCTAATTCGCTAATACCTAGGGGTGCCGCCAACAATTATACACCTTATCCAACAGTTGTACGACAATGCTGCGTTCCAACCAATCCACAAGGGGAAACTCACGGAATCCTTCAAATTAAGACGGGAGTAAGACAAGGCTGGCTGGCTGCCTACTATCGCCAATGATTTTCCCGATTGCAGTAGATTGGCTAATACGACAGGCAGCGGGAAATAAAGAAACAGGCATAAAATGGACCCACACAAAAAACTAGCAGGATCTGGATTTCGCCGATGATATATGTCTGATTTCCCACAAGCTGGAAGATATGCAAGTGAAAAGCAACAAGTTGGAAGATAAAGCATCAAAGATAGGATTTCCTTCAGGTGAACATACAGAAAACAGAGGTGATGAAGATTCCTGGCCACTAGCAGCATCAACAACAACAGACAACAATCAGCATGAATGGGAGGAACCTGAAAGAAACAACCTACCTGGGAGGCATCGTTTCAATTACAGGCGGAACTGACAAGGACATCAAAGTAAGGCAAGCTTTCATTACTCTCAAGTCTGTGTGGAGGTCAACAGCACTCAGCATGAAAATGAGACTTCAATGTGAAGTCAGTGCTACTTACTATACAGATCCGACTTGGTGCATTATAAACTACAGACCTTCACCAACAACTGCCTTTGCTCAATACTCAAAATCAGATGGTCAGGTGAAAACTTTAGCAGAGAACCGAACGCAATGAAGACGTGCAGCTAAAGCCTTATGTACCCCTAGGAATTAAAGGAAATAATCTGGTTTAGATGTGTGTTGTGCTTCATTGATATAAGAATAAAACTTGTGCACTGTGCACTGTGGTAGAGTGTAATTTCATTATGGGGTAAATTTTGTTTTGATAAAGTCTCACAGTGTTATACAGTAATGTTTACTGATGACGTTTCGAGCACAATTTATTGCTCATAATCATATCAAGATTATGAGCAATAAATTGTGCTCGAAACGTCATCAGTAAACATTACTGTATAACACTGTGAGACTTTATCAAAACAAAATTTACCCATAGTGTGTTGTGCTTGTTGGCGCATTTACCAACAAGGTATGTGTTCAGATTTGAGTCCAATTGCATCTTCTAGTGCTTACCGATATGGCGTTCACATCAAGACTGACCCTCTGTAGCACTGAAGAAAGATCAGTTACGCAATGTGGTCGTCAGTGAACCGATACACCATAAAATCTAGGCATAAGGATGTTTTGATTGGACACTAGTAACTAGTGTGATGTGTCTAGTCCTCTTTTTTGGTGCAGACTGAATTCTATCAGTCAGTCAGGCTTGCAATGTGGCCACCATTCTAGGTAGCTTGCCATCACGGTGCACATTAATTTGATGGTATTAGATAGTTGGAGGCAATCGGCAGGAAGCCTTGGACCTAGGTTTCGTGCTAGTCGGCAATCACTGGTCAGCAAGGCGTATTTGCAACCCTGAGATTCGAACCCGCGTCACCCAGTGTTCCAGTCAATCGTGAGCCCGAATAGCTCTGTGGTAACGTCTCTCTGACTGCAGCTCTCACTGGGTGACGCGGGTTCGAATCTCAAAAGGGACATGAGTTCCTTCAAGGTTGCAGATACGCCTTGCTGATTGGTGAGTGCCAACTAGCACGATACCTAGGTACAACGCTTCCTGCCGATTGCCTCCAGCCCATCTAATACAAAAGACTTTACCAGGAGTTAAAAACTGACTTACTTCTACAGTGATATATTTTTCTCTGTTGCGAGAATTACCCAACTTTTCAATAACTTCGTCCACAGTCATACCATATTCAGCGCCCTTTCCTTTCAATTCACCCCAATCAGTTGAATTGTACAATGGGTCATCAACAATAGGATAACCTGAGAAAGAAAAATTATTATTCTTAAATAAGAAGTAATAGCGTGGTATGTGTGTGTGTGTTTGATGCGGACAAAATTAAAGAGATGCAGAAATGGCCAAATTAAGTCAATAGCTGGATTTAGTCTACGTTGTGGTCTGGAAGTAATCTCATTGGAAAACACTTTATCGCCTTTAGCCAATCGTCTCGAACTAATAGGAACAGTTTATTGTCGTCCGCTGACCTAGTTGACTTTTCTTATGATATAATAATTTGCTTTTATTCCAGAAACAGTACTAGTGGTACAGTGTGGAATTTTCAGCACACGTCTACAATATTGCATCTAATTTCATAAAACATTTAAATAGGAGTAGTTCAAAAAATAAATATGAGGAACAGCAACAAAAAAAGAGAAAAAAATACCAAGAAGTAGAAAGGAAAATAAACAACATAATGAATAATATCTCAGTATTGGATAGTGGAAGCTATGATATGTGCATGCGTGGTGAGCAGTAACAGCTATAATCATACAAGAAGTTATGAAATGATATTTAAGAATGTTTATCGCCATGATGATCAGTTAATTTGATTGGACTACACTGAACAATCATAAAATAAACATTTCAGGGTTTTTTTATTTTTATTGTCAGCACTAATGCGGTGTTTGTTGTGGTACTGTGAGTAATCCTGCATAATACAAAATTTTAAGATGGTGTTCATAATCAAGATTGTCAATTAATATTGCCGAACAAAAACAACCACAAAACTAATATTACATGAAGGTTAATGACAGGGAAATTTAGTAATACACACAAAAACAACCAATCACGTCCAAGGTCATCAAGGGGGATGATTAATAAACTCGTGGAGAAATCTAAAGGCTCACTTCAAATTGAAGTATGCGCTGAAGATGTCACCCAATAGGGTGATGAAAGCTTCGCAAATTAAGCATTCAGCTCAGAGAACACAACCACATCAAAATATTATAAAGTGGCAAAGTTGAACTCTAAGCACCACCAATTACCAATCAGCTCATGACCTCAAACGCACCAATCATGTGAAGAGAGCATCTTTATGTATGGAATGCACATATTTATGAAATAAAGCATAAAAGCTGTATAAAAGTGTTACAAAGGATATCTTGCTCTCACATGTGATAAAAATAACTCAGTTTTAGGTTGGAGTATCAAGATAGTTGAACTCCATTGTGGGTAAAATTTATTTTGCTAAAGTCTCATAATGTTATACAGTAATATTTATCGAGCAATAAATTATGCTCGAAACGTGGTCATCAGTAAATATTACTTACTGTATAACACTGTAAGACTTTATTAGAATAAATTTTACCCACACTGGAATTATAATCTACCGCCACAGTGCAAAAGTTCTATTCTTATATCGACAGAGTAATATAACCACATTTTATGCATGTAATTATTCACGTCTTCTAAACTTACCCTAAGAGTAACCCCAAATCCTTCCTGAACCTAACCCTAACGTGAGCATATCCCTAAACTAACTGTAATCTAACTCGGATCAACCCCTAATGTCACCTTAATTAGGTTAACCTAACCCTAACTTGTCCTGTGAAATGTAAGATGCTGCTACAGGACTGGACTACGTCAACTCCTAACTTAGTGATAGGGAGTGAAGTGATAGGACCTGTTGACCACTTCACCTATTTGGGAAGTTGTATCAGCACCAACGGACTGGTTGGCGACGATATCTCAGCACGGATCCAAAAAGCTCGAGCTCCTTTCGCTGACTTACACCATCTCTGGCATAGGCGTGACATCCGGCTGGCTATCAACCAAGGAACGTGTGTACTGCTCATCAGTTCTCTCCGTCCTTCTCTATGGCTCTGAAACATAGCCAATACGAGTTGAAGACATGAAAAGGTTGACTGTTTTTGATCGTAGATGTCTACGATCTCTGTCTCACTTTAGGTGGTTTAATAAGGTAAGTAACGTTGACGTTAGGTGTAGAGTGTTGGGCAAAGAGGGAAAATCAATCGACGAGGCTATAAAGTTACATAGACTGAGATGGCTAGGTCACGTGCTGCACATGCCTAACCATCGCCTCACCCGACAGGCATTACTAGCTGATATAGGTGGTGCAGGTTGGAAAAGAGTAAGTGGTGGCCAAACAAAAACATGGCCTCATCAATCCATGAAATTCTTGACGGTTAAACTCAGTCAGGTAGGGAGGGTGATGCAGACCTCCGGGTTGGGGCCCTCGGGACTCTAGGAATCAATGGCTGGAGGCAATAGGTGACATGGCTCAAAATCGTTGTCAATAGCCAGCGCGGATGTATTCAGTCTCCGTAATCTTTCATATTCGTTTCTACCATTACCCATTCTGTTTCACTCTTATACTTGTCAAACTCTATTGATTCTCTTCACACATCTTCTTGTCTACCTTTGTGTGCCATTTGGAACGTGGGAACTTGAACTGCTGGACTTCGGTGACAAGTTCTATGTTGAATCCAGACAGACAGACAGGCCTAAGATTATGCTATTAGCATTGTCTCTGTCACACACATGGTTAAAAAATGTATAAATGTGATGCATTTTTCATTAATTAAAATGGCAAGGTACCATTTCCCTTATCTTCTGCTGTTACAATAGATATGGTAACGTATGCAAACTAAGTTAGGTTATATCTTATGGTAGCCGTTTTTTAGAAGAATACTCTAAATAGTATTTAATAGTCTTATAAGAAACTTTTTAAATTTAAGAGCGATGTCAGCATTTCGAGTTGATAATATGTGATGAGGGCTGTCTGCTAGACAAAATTGATAGACAGCTATTTACGTCTATGTTTACGTCACAAATCGGCGTCATGAGAAAAAGAAACAAGAACAAAGATAAACTCAACAACCAATCACAGAAGACTTGGCGTGGGCGGATACGATTCGCATATATATATCTCCTGACCATCGAAGAAACAGCCACAAAGAAATTACAGATTAACTCCATTATCGATAAGATTTTATTTTGATAAAATATCACACAGTGGTGTTATACAGTAAGTATTATTAACTGATGCGACCACGTTTCTAGCACAAACTATTGACACTCATAATCATATCACGTCACTCACTCAGACAACTCACTTTATTGCTTCATTTATATATATGAGTGGAACTGGTGATTAGACATTTGAATACAAATCAGTAATAAAGGATAATGTACATTCAGAAATAATAATAATATGATTGTTATCAATCCAGTACAATCAGATGGGAAAAAGGACGAATGTTTTTATAGTAAAATAAATAAGTAACTTGTTAGAATGTTGTGATGTGCTTGAATAGAACTGAAATAGTATTATGAGATTATTTATTATCCTCCTGTGATTTGGCTGACTGACTGCTGGTAATAGCATCATCCATGCATATCTTGGTATTTCCATTGAGTCACTCCTATTGCATATATTGTGCTGGGTGTAGACTCAATGAACAAGGATTCAGTAATCAATCTCTCTCGCTCTCCACCTACATAGATTACTTCTTAGAATCTTAACACTGTCTCACCACCCTATTTTATGATTGTGTGTTAATGCATGCAGTGAGATTGCTGAGATTTTTTCCAAATTACTTATCTTCTCGGCGTCAACCATTCTCACCAAATTCTAATGTTCTGACAATCTGATTACGCACCTATTAGTTTGATCTATGTAGTTGACCACACTCACAGTCATTGCAGGGTATTTTTTAAATTTTTTGATCTTGTCTAATTGGGTCAACCTATAGGGTCCTTTAACCTAAAGAGCTTGTCCCTGAGTGAGTTTTGTAGGTTTGAATGCCACCGTAATTCCTGCCTTATTGAGAATCCTACGTGCGGAGGGTCTTAGATGTCCCCTCCTTCTTTATATGGTATAACAATGGATGACATATTCTCTCTTATTTATGTTATCATTACAATTATCTTTATTTTGCTTCTGACCTTTACTGATCTTCCTAATGAATTCTATAGGTTAGTTATTCAACACCAACGCTTCTTCTATCTGTTTTATTTCATCATTTAGGTCTTTTCTTGTACTTAGTGCTACTGCTCGGTTTGTTAGACATTTAACTAAGTCTGCCTTAACAGTTAACGGATGAGATGAATTAAAGTCTAAATATCTATCAACAGAATGTGTTGGACTTTTATAAACGCTAGTGTTCAGTTTACCGCCAGTCAAATCAGAAGAGGATAATAAATAATCCTAAAATTCTATTTCAATTCAAGCATATCACAACATCCTTAAAAGTTACTTATTATGACTATAAAAAAAACACTCGTCTTATTTCCCACCTGATTGTAATTGATCAATAACACTCGTATTATTTTTGAATGTACATTAACACACTGATTTTTATTCAAATGTCTAATCATCAATTCCACTCATGTAGATAAATGAAGGAAGAGAGTTGTGTGACTGAGTGAGTGACTTGATATGATTATGAGTGGCAATAGTTTGTGCTCGAAATGTGGTCACGTCAGTAAATATTCCTGTACAACACTGTGTGATTTATCAAAATAAAATCTTATCCATAATGGAGTTATACTCTACCACCACAGTGCCCAAGTTCTATACTTATATCAGATGACATATTATTTTTCAGCGACAAAACGACCAATCAGAAGACGCTGTTTCTCTGTTAATAAAATAACGAATAATAATGTACATAAAAATATATAAATATCTTTTGATTTCCTCAATAAACGATCTGTTTCCTAGCCCTTGTTTTATGTCGTTACAATAAGATTTAATATCAAGCTAAAGGTTATTTTAAAACTATAAGAATTCACCAGCTACAGTGTGGTTTGCAAAAAAAAGATTGACACTACAACACTATCTGGTGTTTCTTACAGGTCTGTCTGTCTGTTTTCGACATAGAACTTTGCACAAATGTGCGGAAGTTCAAGTCGCCACACTCCGTGTAGCACGCGAAGCAAGAGAAGAAAGTACAAGAAAAGCATAATAGAGACAGTGAGCAGAGGTGTGAGACAAAGGAGGAGTAATAACGAAGAACAAAACAGTTTCATTGGAGATCATAAGTCACAAGGAGTGGATGCATCTGCGTTGTCATTGAGAACGATTTTGAGCCATGTCACCAATTGTTTCCAACCATAGATTTTTACCGTCCCCAGGACCCCAGCCTGGAAGTCTACACCTTCCTACGTGGCTTAGACCAACTGTTGTGGATTTCATTGACTGGTGCAGCCAAGTTTTTGTTTGACCGCCGCTAGCTTTTTTCCAGCCTGACCCTATATCCGCTAACATTACCCATCAGTCGAGGGAGGCGATGGCTTGGCATACGTAACACATGTCCTAACCATCTCAGTCTTTGTAACTTCACGACTTCGTCGATTGATTTCCCCTATTTACATAGGACTCGACGCCTAACTTCAATATTGCTCACCCTATTATACCACTTCACACGTGAGATAGAACGCAGACACCTACGATCAAAGACAGCCAGCTGGTCTTTTCATGTCTTCCACTCTCAGTGGCCAGGTCTCACAACCATAAAGGAGGACGGATTCTTACAGGTATAAAAAACTCATGGAATTACTGACAGTAAAGGAGGATTGGTAAGTGTATTTGTTTTATGCTTTGAACCGTAATAGGTTCTTCACATCACCCACAGGCATATTATTCAACGTTGAGTTAAAAGTCCAACTTACGGCTATCACACACACTGGGAGTACAATAGAAACGGCTTAGTATGAACAGTTGAAGACTGGCTAATTCCTTTTGAGAGAGAGAGAGGCTGTTATCTATCTTTGCTTAACATTTTAAATGAGTTATCCTCACAAATGGAAAAAAATAGTCACTGCATAATAAACACAATACAACATATTTACCACATCATCATTGAAGGACTGACAAGATTGAAATGACAATTTTAGAGAAACACTCGACAATAATGGATTATTTAAATTGAAGTAATTTAGTGGATGGTGATTAGCAGTGGAATCCAGGATGAGCATTTCATCCCATTTTGGAACTCGTCCCGGCCGATAACTGCTACCTTGTCGTGGTGGTCGGGCGTGAATACTGTAATGACCCAACATGCTAAACTGACTGGGACTCTGTTCCTGCAGGGCCTACCATGTCAGGAAGGTTGTTTGGATAGCGGTTAAACTAAAAGCAGTTACCATGGGGTACATGGGCTCCAGAATCCAATCGGATCAAATGGCGTATGAACCCATATGGGTCACTGGCAACTATTGGAATGCAGCCCCTGACGCTGCTCCGCTACCTTGCGGATTAGACTCCAAGTCAAAGGCTCGAGGGATGGTCTCTTAATAAAACCACCTACTTCGGTCTGGGTGCCCGGGCAGTATCTCAGTCCTCAGACAACAAATGAAATTTTGTGTGGCGCATCTTTCTTAGTGCCATATTGTACCAAGTTTTTTCTGCGTTTAAATAAAATTGGAACTCGTCAAGGGGAAAGAATAAACTGAATTATTTAATTCAGTTCACTTCAATTAAATCCATTATTGTCGAGTGTTTCTCTAAAATTGTCATTTCAATCTTGTCAGTCCTTCAATGATAATGTGGTAAATAAGTTGTATTGTGTTTATTATGCAGTGACTATTTCTTCCATTTGTGAGGATAATTCATTTAAAATGCTGAGCAAAGATAGCAATCTCTCAAAATAAAAACTGAATTAAATAATTGACCGCTTCATTTATTTGGGAAGTACCATCAGCCAGCTCCAGTGGGTTGATCTCTGGCGAAATCTCAGGACGGATAGAGGGGGCTATTTTCGCATACGCCGTCTCTGGCTTAGTAGACGTGATATCCGGCTAGCTATCGACTAAAGGGCGTGTGTACTGCCCAGCATCCAGTCCGCTCCGTCCTCCTTTATGGCTGTGAGACCTGGCCACTGAGATTGGAAGACATGAAAAGACCAGCTGGCTTTGATAGTATGTGTCTGCGTTCTATCTCCCGTGTGAAGTGGTACAATAAGGTGAGCAATATTGAGGTTAGGCATGGGTCGAGTTCTAGGTAAGGAGGGGAAATCAATCGACGAGGTTGTGAAGTTACATAGACTGAGATGGTTAGGACATGTGTTACGTATGCTTAGTCATCACCTTCCTCGAGTGACGGCCAATCTTAGCTGACATAGGGTGAGGCTGGAAAAGAACTAGCGAAGGTCAAACCAAAACATGACTTCAACGGTCAATGAAATCCACAACAGTTAGTTTAAGCCAGCCAGCCAATCACGTAGGAAGGTGTAGACTTTCTGACTTGTTGGGGTCCTCGGGACGGTAAAATCCAATGAAGGCTGGAGACAATTACCGGTGATATGGCTCAAAGTGATCGTTCTCAATGTCAGGCGCAGATGCATCCACTCCTTGTGACTTATGATTTCCAATGAAAGTATATTGTTCTTCGTTATTACTATTCCTTATGTCTAATATCCCTGTCTACTTTCTCCATTTTGCATTTCTTCTACTTTCTTCTCTTGCTTTGTGGGCTACATGGAGGGGGTGTGGCAACTTGAACTGCCGCACATCGGTGCAAAGTTCTATGTCCAAAACAGACAGACAGAATCAGATAATAATAATAATAATAACTGATACCAGATGCATAAGAGATGGCTCTCGTGGTCCAAGTGGATAACGCTTTAGCGTTTGAAACGATGGAGGATACTGGGTCCGATCCTCAGGGTGGGAATACCATCACTCACTGGGGAATGCAAGTGTACATCAGGACAACGAGTCTCAAACAGGACGAAATGTGCATCTTGGGGGTCCTACTGAGCTAGTTACCATCCATCAAATTACTTCAAGTTAAATCCTCAGACACCGTCGAAGCACCCACACAATGAGCTGACTATAGTACAACTTATGACTATTACTAATTCTAATATTCTTCATTATAGTTGTTACATGATCAAAGGTCAAATTGTGATTCATACGAAGCCAAGTTGTGGAAGAGAAGTTGGAACACCCATAATCTGCATTTCATGTTCAATGTAAATGCAACATTTTGCTGAGAAAACCTGAAATGTGATCAATTGAGTAACAAATAGTCTTTAGCAGCTTCTCAGCTGATACCTGCTTATGATAAAAGCCACTTTAGAAGATTCGTGAACATACATACCGTTATAAAAGTTTCTAGAAGCGTCGGTAGCACAGCAGTAGAATTCTCGCCGACCATACAGATGGCCCGGGGTTCGATCCCCAGTAATAAGACTGGTAAAGAGAGGGATGGTTGGGGGGGGCATGAGGCTAGCAACCCCATCCAGTAAAAATAATAAACACCACTGCTAAAGAAACTTTTAGCCTTTAGCATGAGGCCGCCCTATGTTCCACTAAGAACTCAAAGGAATAGAAGCAGGAAAAGTTTCGATTAAAAAGAACATTGCACATAAAATTACCTAAATACTGTACATGTACTCGAATTTGATGAGTACGTCCAGTGAATAAACGACAAATAACTAGACTTGTATCCGTTACAGGATTATAACTCAAGCGCATAAAATGTGTTCGAGCCGACTTTCCACCGGATGATTCCGATATAACAGCATGAATTCCCAATTTACGACTGATAGGTCCAACAGGTTTATCACAGATCACCACACCATCGTGTAATTCAAAATCAGCATCACAATTTTCTGGTTTTGTTTCGTGAGGGAAACAGCCTTCCACATGACAAATGTAATACTAAAAACAAAACAAACAAAAAAGGGACAGTCAAATAATATTTAAAAAAACAGTTTAATGGATACCAGTTATCGGGAAATTTTTTATACAGCTTGGATAAGTGGATCATAGAGACTTGCTTAACTTAACTCCCGTATTCTGCCTATTATTCTCTCTCTCTATTGTTCCTCCTTAGTTTTTCCTGGGGTACTGAAGAAAGACTATGCCTTATTACGCAAGATGTTAAAGGTTGTCAGCAGGGTAAGCCACAGGGTGCCACTTAACCAGCTTGTTAATATTCTGGTCGACAGGCATTTGGACTCATGTGAAAAATGGGCTAAATCCATTCTATCTATCAAACTCACACCACCCTCTTCATTCATTCACAACTCTCCCTCCTTGTATCTGTCTTATCAGGCAGGACCAGAAGCCTATATAGAAAACTATATGCTCGCACTAGTAGATACCAAATCTCAACCATACCCTACTTGGTTGGTTCGTATTCTGTGCGATAAAGAAAGCATTAGGCATGAAACTTATAACTTATTAAATAGTCAGTACAACAACTGGATCTCGTCTTTCCAACTCATATCACTTATAGGTACAACATTTTTCTTCCTTTCTTCTCCTTTTCTCTCTCTTTTTTCTGTTATGTGCAGCTTTGTTTCTTTCTTCTGCTTACGCCAGTAAATATGCTAGGACGTACTTTTCTAGCACCTTCAAGCACTGTTAAATTCTGGCTTTGCTACCGATATGTCAATATGTTGTTGTCAAAACTAACTGAGATTACCCCCTTAATCTATGTAGAATTTTATTTTATTGTTACTTTATTAACTGGGAGCAATACTGTAGTAAAATGCTGAGAATTCCATTCTGTATCGCAAGTACTGTTTCGGAATAAAGCTATTATCATTATTGTGTGCGTCGGTGGCATAGCAGTTAGGACGCTCGTCGACCATGCACATGGTCCGGGGTTCGATCCCCGGCCGACTCACTCCTTTAACTCGCTAAGTCAGAAATAATGCTGGTAAAGAGGAAAGGTTGGGCATGAGGCTGGCAACCCCATCCTGTAAAATAAACACTGCTACAGAAGCTTCAAGTCACTAGCTTGAAGCCCTATGTTCCACTGGGGAACGTGAAGGAATATATATATATATATATAATTATTATTTAATAATAATAATATTAACGAAGACATGCATGTCAAATGTGCGCACGATAACACCAACAATTAGGAATCTACATCATCAGTAGTAATTCCATATAAAGAATGAACCTCGGAAACCTTACGCAGAATTCTTAACAAGGCACGGAGGAATAAAAGTGGCTGGTATTCATACCAACCACAAACTCAATTAGAAACAAGCTTTGTAGGTTAAAGGATCAATCAGGTGGAGCCTTTAAAACAAAACAATTTAGTTTATCTGATACCCTGCCGTCGATGATTGTCAGATCAAATACATAGGTCAAAGTAGTAGAAAAGGGGCAGTTAGTCAGACTATCTGAACATGAAAACCTAGCAAAATCTAGATTAGTTGACCCGAATAAGATAAGAAATCTGGAAGATAGTTCAGTTCTAGCACCACACACAACTACACACAAGCATACAACAGGCTGGATAGGATATGACAGCTTTAAACTCTAATGTCACAGGGTATAGGGAGAGATTGATAACAGAAGCTTTGTTTATCGAATCAACTGAGAAAGAATACATATCACAGGAATGATTCAACACCTGTCTATCCATATATCTGGAAAATTCCACTACCCCTACAACGACAAATAGGAGAGAACAAAGAAAACTATAAAACTATATAAAGTTTCGAAGTCGTGTCATTCAGTACATAATACTGTTTCACTCACTGTGTGATACATCTAATAAACAAGCTAGTATGGAATTACTTACTACCACAGTGACCAAGTTTTACACATATATTAATATTGCTTAATTTTGCTTAGAATATTTTAATGAGAAGGGTCGAAAAATGCTTAGCTTGAAAAGTGTACACTGTACAATCTTTTAATGTAGCAATATCCTTGAAAAGCGCTTTTTCACTGAGAATAACTATCAATACGTCTTGTTCGACAGAAACGAATACCAAACTTATATAATGAAACAAAGCAATTATCTTCCATTGTCTGTTTTCGACATAGAACTTTGCACAAATGTGCGGAAGTTCAAGTCGCCACATTCCGTGTAGCACGCGAAGCAAGAGAAGAAAGTACATAATAGAAATAGCATAATAGCATAATAGAAACAGTGAGCAGAGGTGTGAGACATAGGAGTAATAAAGAAATACAAAACAGTTTCATTGAAGATCATAAGTCACAGGGAGTGGATGCATCTGCACCACTGAGAACGGTTTTGAGCCATGTCACCAATTGTTTCCAACCATAGATTTTTACCGTCCCGAGGACCCCAACAAGTCAGAAAGTCTACACCTTCCTACGTGGCTTAGACCAACTGTTGTGGATTTCATTGACTGGTGCCAAGTTTTTGTTTGACCGCCGCTAGCTTTTTTCCAGCCTGACCCTATATCCGCTAACATTACCCATCAGTCGAGGGAGGCGATGGCTTGGCATACGTAACACATGTTCTAACCATCTCGGTCTATGTAACTTCACAACCTCGTCGATTGATTTCCCCTGCTTACCTAGGACTCGATGCCTAACTTCAATATTGCTCACCCTATTATACCACTTCACACGGGAGATAGAACGCAGACACCTACGATCAAAGACAGTCAGCTGGTCTTTTCATGTCTTCCAATCTCAGTGGCCAGGTCTCACAACCATAAAGGAGGACGGAGCGGACTGATGAGCAGTACACCCGCCCTTTGGTCGATAGTCGAACATCTCATCTACGCCAGAGTTGGCGTAAACTAACAAATGCGAAACGAGCCCCTTGTATTCGTGCTGAGATTTCGTCAGAGATCAGCCCGTTGGGGCTGATGGTACTTCCCAAATAAGTGAAGCGGTCAACGTGCTCTACCACTTCACTTCCTATTTTTAAACTAGGCGTCGATGTAGTCCAGTCCTGTAACATCATCTTGACTCTTGACCAAAGTAGTGAATAACTGGAAGGCCTAAGTATCAAGCTGAAAAAAAAAAGATAATTTCACAATGATTTTCATTTTTTTCGCTCGAGAGTATGATGAACAACAATGTAGACGAGTTACACGGTAGCATATATCCCCCCCCCAACTTGGTTAGTACCTCAGGATACTTGACTTGTAACAACAATTCACAAACTGACAGCTTTTTGTGCTTTTGGAAGTGTGTGGGCGGTTGTTACTTCCCGACTGATTTTTCGGGTACCTGAAACAAAGACAGGGTTAAGTGTTGAGTGACCGCAGATCCCAGGGGACAACTGTTTGATGCCAGCCAGTCACACACAGCCTGTATGAACTGGTTTCTGGGATTGGTTTCGTATTAGTAAACTTACCGCCGGTTACCAACCACCCTAGGGTAGGAAGTCAGGATGTACAATTGTTGGGGTCGACCTTTTCTAACCCCCTCTCTCCAGAGTGAAAAGACAGCATAGCTGGTTGGCATGCTGGTCATCTGAGGGAAACACCTCACTGCCGCTAAATCTCTGTTCCCCAGAAGTACGACTTCGCCCACAGACCTCCAGCATAGTGTGAAAGAGAAATTCTTACACTGAGCCGGTAACTGCTTTTAGTCTAATCGCTATCCTAACAACCTTTGTGGCATGGTAGGACCTACAGGAACAATAGTTCCAGGCAGTGTAGCTTGTTGGGTCATTGTGATGTGGAAGCCGCGGACCACCACGTCAAGGTAGCAGCTATCGGTCGGGCACAAACTGACATCACACATGAAGCCATAACATTTCATAAATCTGCTCACAGAGAGAAAGGCAAATATATAGGCACAAAGGTACTTCTAGCGACAACACTGATTATGCAATCAAGCCACATCTAATAACGCCCCCGGCTTCTGAATACCATATTCTCCAGAATCTCACTCAAGAGGTTTTACGGCCCTAAAGGTTCTGAGATGTATTCTCCTACACCAGACAGACAGAAAGGGAGAGTTGCGGTAAAAGTAGCTTCCAGTGAGAATGTCCATGAAGTAATATATAAACATTAACAATAAATAAAGTCGAATTGATAATATATCAGTACAAACCTTTGTCACTTCTTTATTGCCGATCTGTGTCTGTAAGCGGACAGATGCGTCATAATTTTTGGCGATTAGAAGCAATCCTGAAGTCATTCTAGGGAGAAGGTAAAAATAAAGTGAGGGGTATGCGTGAAAAACGAAGAAACTTACAAAGAGAGAAAATATTCATTCAGACATCTATAAAACACAAATTAATTAAGCAAAGAATATTCTTCTCAATAAATTCCTTCTCCTCTGGCTCTACAATTATATATACATATGTTTATATACATAGCATATTCTAGATTAGTAGTCAATAACAATATTAGTGTTTTTTTTAAATATCGATTTGTAAGATCACAATGGAATCACCACAGTTCATTAAAGATGCTTAAAACACGATAATAATAATAATAAAAAAGAAAGATATGATACCAAAGAGAATACCAACTAAAATTAGGAAGATCCCATAAAAATTTAGGATTATTCAAACCTAGATGGCCAAGGTAAGGATAATGTCCGAACTAATATCTTTTGGACGCACAAATTAGGCTTCTTAATGTTGATCCCAAAAGCCTCAGCAATATTTAGTAAACGAACTCTTACGATGAAATTTAGGTTTGTTGGTATGCGGTAAATGACCTTGAAAGCATGGTCAACATGAATCTCGTATCCACAAGATGAGATAGAATTGCGCTGAGGTTAAGCAAAGGACAAACAAAATCTGTTCACAGCTCTATTCTATCTCATCTTGTGGATACAGAACACAAGATTGATGTTGACAAGGCGGCTTTCTGAGTCATTTACCGGATACCAACAAATCCCAATTTTGCCTTAAGAGTTTGATTACTAAATATTGCTGCGACTGGCCATTGGGATCTGCACATCGGTGCAAAGTTCTATGTCGAAAATAGACAGACAGACAGTCTGATAATATATGATTTATAATGTCGACACTGGCGAAGATGATTGATAAGCAACAATGAATGCAAGGATCCGTGGGTCACCAGCTTTATCTGAAGAAGTAGATGAGAAAAGAGATTCCAATAGGCTTCGAGGATAATAAACTGTTTGAACAAAATCTAACTAAAGGTTTTCGTGAGGACAGATAGCAGTGCTGGGTGACAAATGGTATGAACGCTTACTCAAAGCTGTTACCTTCAGTCAGGTGTAGTTGAAAATAGACTCAGCTGTTAAGACAGCTAGGTGGGGGGTAGTCAAAACGTCTCAGAGTAGGTCAATTGGTCAATAACTCTATTCCTTTTAACGTCAGTTAGACAACGATGTCAATACCAATCTTCATACTCTACCAGAATTAGCACAGACTGTCATACATGAAGGCAATGTGAACCGGTGGGACTTGACGTACCATGATGGTGAGATGAAATTGGAAATCAAAAGAGCTAGACATTGCATTAGGATTGCGAGTGTTTCAAACACACTAGCATTCACAAGAAAGAGAACAGATCTTCCAGTTGAAAATAAGCTTAGTGTTTACGATCAGGGAGGCCACAATAATATCAGTGAAGTAAAATTCAGGAACAAAAGATATTCGAATGGGCTTAAGGTGCAGATGGTCCTATTTAATATTTTTATCCTTCAAAAGAATTGAATACAAAACTTATTGGGGTCGAGTACTTAGAATATTTTATGATCCGGGGACATCTGCTTCTACCTACCAACGTATTTATTGCACTGATCAAAGCACTCTACTCAAACTCGTGCGTCGGTGGCACAGTGGTTAGGACTGTCGCCGACCATGCACATGGTCCGAGGTTCGATCCCCTACTGACGCACACCTGATATCTATGGTCGGCCTGCAAAATTTGGGCTGCCTCCAAAGCCTCAGGATGGTCGGGGGTGGGTGCCTTGCGCTGCGGGTTGGCCACCCCTCCACAGACCTCTTGAAATGCTCCCATATGACCGGGCGTCTTACATAGCCTCTCCTGAGGAAGTCTTACTCACTGCCTTCACGTGGCGGAGGTGTTTCTCACCAAAGTGAGAGGGCGAAAGAGGATGCCTGGTGCTCTCCACCGGGTTGACTGTCCATTGGATGACAGTCTAGGAGAGATGGCTAAACCCTGATTCCAAACCTCCAACGACTGGCGTATGAAGCTCACTGGAGCTCACCGGCAGACGTATGGACAAAGGGCTTGTTGGATGTCCTGGATGTCTGGCCCCGTTCAAAAAGGCGTATGAACCAAACTCCGGTCACCGGCTGCCAATGGATAGTGGACTCCTTACTCCACTCCTACTGCCTTGTAGGTCACACTTGGCTGTGTAAAGGCTAGAGCTGCACTCTCAAACAAAAGGCCGAGCGATGCTGGGGACATCACTCGTACCAAATTCCCATGAAACTTCATGAACTCTCTTACAAATTGCCGCGCCTGGGCAGCGATGATTCGAGACGTTCATGAAGCCAGCTCATCCTCCCGTAGGAGATAGCCGAAGTAAAGCAAGCAAGCAAAATTTGGGCTACCGATATCCATGCTGAAAATTCCATACTTGTACGAAAAATACAGTGTGGAATCAAGCTGTAATCAAAAATAAAATAGAAAATAAATAAAACTCATGCAACCAGGTGACAGCCTACGGAGAGTTGTCATCTGAAGTGGTCACAAACAGTGGTGTCCGTCACGGATGCCTACTGTCCTCATTTCTATTCAGTTTCATCATAGATGTGCTAATCGACTTAACCCTAACTCAATTCACAGAAGTAGGAATTGACTTGTTACTAGGGTATAATCCCGTTGACTTAGAATATGCAGATGATACAGTTCTTCTAAATGAAGACGCTGACAAAATGCAGAGTCTTCTGAATGCCTTGAGCTGCAATCTACGAATATTTGGCATGCGATTCGCCCTCGCCAAATGTGAGATGATGCTAGAGGATTGGACTATATTGACTCCTAGCTTAAAGATGGGGAGCGAAGTGATGATCTGAGCGTGTTGACCACTTCACTTATTTGGGAAGTTGTATCAGCCGTCACCAGTGAAATGATCACTGACGAAATCTCAGCACAGATACAGAAGGCTCCTTTGGCATTCGACAATTTACTTTAACTCTGGTGTAGACGGGATTCCTGGCTGGCCTTTGATCGTAGGACGTGTGTACTGTGCAACAGTTTGCTATATCCTTCTTTATGGCTGGGACATGGTCACTGAAAATGGAAGACATGAAAAGACCAGCTGGCTTTCTTTGATCATAGGTGCCTGAGTTCTATCTCCCACATTAAGTGGTATAATAAGGCGAGCAACATTAAGGTTAAGCATCGGTCGAGTGCTAGGTAAGGAAGGGAAATCAATCAACGAGGTTGTGGACTTACACCGATTGAGATAGTTAAGACATGTGTTACGCATGCCTAGCAATCTATCGCCTTCCTGGATGGTCAATTTTAGCTGACATAGAATCAGGTTGGAAAATAACTAGTTGTGGTGGTCAAATCAAAACTTGGCTTCACCAGCCAATGAAATCCACAACAGTTAGTTCAGGATACATTAAGAGGTGTAAACTTCCTGGTTGGGGTCCTCGGGACTCTAAAAACCAATGAAGGCTGGAGACAACTGGTGATATGGCTCAAAATAGTTCCCAGTGTCACAGAGGCATTCACTCTTTGTGATTTGTCATACAGAATAAAACTCTATTGTTCTCCCACATTACTATTCACTTTCCTTCAAGCACACTTGAGTTTGTTATCTCTCTTTACTCTCTCCTCTTGTTGTGTGTGCTACATAGAGGAAGCATGACAATTCGAACTGTTGCATTTCTGTACAATCTTCAACGTTGAGACCAGTCAGTCAGTCAGTTGACGTATGTTGATAAGGAGCCAGAATTACGTTAAGCTAGTTAAGAAACTCAATGTGGACTCAATTAAGAACCGATTCGTCATGTAAGCTTACACAAATCAATGGTGTCTAGAGAAAAATGTCCATCGCTGCTTCTATTCGGCATTCTTAGACGTATTGACGGTGACTGTATTCAGAGTTCTTCATAGATGTGCCACTTATCACATAAACCTATTTGACTTAGAGTAAAGAAAAATACAGTCACTGAGTGAAGCGGACTGTTTAGTGGTTTCTAAAATCCCTTAGATTACACAACAGATCGACGAAAGTATTGACAATGCACAGGTCCCATGTTTAAGATGTTTTGCAGTCTGAAAGTGGAAGAAATACTTGGAAAAGCATCCAACACCCTCGATCTTATTACTCTGACTAGCATAATGCTTTAGTTCTTAGACTAAGAATCACCACTTCTCAGATAATTTACCTAATATATATTCGACCCTAGCATTTTTAAGCCACATGTAGTTTTTGAATTGAAGCACAAAAAAATTATATGATATACATTAAGCACTAAAGAACCAGACAACAAACCTGTCAAGCCTATGGACAAATCGAAGAGGACGAAGACCGTGTTCTTTGGCCAGAATGTGTGTAATGCTATTTAGTGTGTACTGACCACATGGATGAATTGGTATTGAAGGGGGTTTGTTGATCACCAGCATATCTTCTGAGTTGTGCAGAAATTCAATGGGCAGATCTAGAAGGTCAACTAAGATTAATCTGAAAACTTACTCAATACGGGACACTCATGACGATGAACTCTATGAGAAAGTAAATCACTGTCACTCATTATATAGTCAGGATCTACTTTCTCATCATTGACCAAGATCGCCCCAAGCTTGCACCTCCTTTCCTGAAGATTGTTTCACTTACAGAACACATACTTACTATTACTTCATCCGAAGTGAACCTAAACTCAGATTGCAAAACATCAAGTAGCTTACAACCAATCCACCTGTGCTTGGCATATGCTTTGAAAGTAAAATGATAGGGGAAGACCTATTAGATTGCACAAATAAGTTTTTAACGAACCTTTCTGAAAGCTCCATCTATGTAGTAATCACTAATATCTGAATTTTCATAGTGGTCAAAGTCTACTTTGGAACGTTTCCTTTCTTGTCGCATTTTTACCAATGTAGTTTTAGCTGCAGCCCTTTTGGCATTACGTTTTTCACGTCTGCTCATTTTTTCCATGACAGAAGTTGCTGCTGTACACAATTTGCGAAATCCCAATATCTTAGCAGGTGAAAGCATGAGAAGTGTAACGCATGCTTCGAATTGATCTACCATAAAATTTGTGACAGATTCAGATTTATTGGTTGAGGATAGAAGGCTTGCAGCCTATGTTAATCCTTTTCTAGTAGATTTCTGTGGTTGTCCAAACCCTTCTTGAACGAATCAGTTGAGGTTGCAGACACCACTTCTTCTGGGAGTCGGTTCCAAGAGTTTATAACTCGATGTGAGAACCAGTACTCAACAGCAATATGATTTCTCCTTGGCTTTTGAACTTTCCTGCTATGTCCTCTAAGGTGTTCCGACCTGGTGAGAAGGAAAAAAGAGAATAGGTCAGGTCCGTAGTCATTATTTAAAATTTTAAACACTGTGATTAAATCTCCTCTCTGCCTACTGTATGACAGTGAGAAGAGATTTAAACTGTCTAGTCTTTCCTCGTATGATAAGTTAGCTATGCCGTGAACCATACGTGTTGCCTTCCTTTGAACACTTTCTAGAATGTGTGAATCCCCTTTTAGACAAGGACTGGCGGCCTGGATGCAGTTTTCCAGTCTTGACCTAACCAGAGATGTATATGAGGAGGTGAAGATATCCCTGGTGATTCTAGTAAAGGCTCTGCGAATTGTTCATAAGGACCTGAAACTACGTGCAGCCACCGCGCGACAGTGTGCTGTAGTTTTTAAGTCATGGCTGACTATGACACCTAAGTCCAAGTGAGTCTGAACTGATGGAAGTGTTATTCCCTCTAATTCGTAGGGGCTTGTGCTTGATTGTCCGATGCGCATGGTTGCACGTTTTGCCACGTTGATCGGGAGCATCCATTCAACAGACCACTCCGACAATTTGCTGAGGTCCTCTTGCAACGTGAGCGTATCACTGTTGCCCTTCAGCTCTCTCCAAATTTTTAAGTCATCTGCGTATAGGACCATAGAGGAGTCGGTGAGCAGAGGTAACTCATTGGTATACAGAATAAAAAGGAGAGGACCGAGAACCGTGCCTTGTGGCACTCCGCTACTTACTGCTGTCCAGGAGGAGAGTTTTGAGTTGACCCTAACCCTCTGCCTCCTATCTATGAGGAATTCCCTGAGCCAGTCTAGTAGTCTGCCTTTGATACCAAGACTTTCCAATTTCATGAGTAGTCTTTTGTGAGGTACTTTATCAAAGGCTTTACTGAAGTCTATGAAGACGACGTCAACGGGTCTTCTGTCATCCTTTGATTTAACCCAGCTTTCTCTTGCAGTCAGGAGATTTGACAGGCATGAGAGGTTCCTCCGGAAGCCATGCTGTGCTCCAGATAACAAGCTGCTATTTTCCAGATAAGCCATGATGCTTTTCTTGATAATTCTTTCCAGTGTCTTGATTAAAGTGCTGGTGAGACTGATAGGCCTGTAATTTGAAGGGCTTTGTCTTGATCCTCCTTTGTGTATGGTGGTTACTATGGCGTCTTTCCAGTCACGTGGCAACACTCCATTTAGGAGAGATAGCTTGAAGATCGTGGTCAAGGGGCCGGCTATGTGGGCTGATAGCTCCCTGAGAAGCCTTAGATGAAGATTGTCAGGACCCATTGATTTTCCTGCATCTAGTTTCATTAAGAAGTTGAGCACGATGCCTTGGTCGATGTCAACGGAATCTATCCCATGTTCTTCTGATGCAGCCAGAGCTGATCCTATAGGCATTGATGACTCCTGAGTGAAGACTTGGGAGAAGTAGTTTGCCATTGCTTCTGCTTTTTCTTGATCTTCTTCGATTGTATCTTTGTCAATAACGAGACCTTGAAGCCAGATTTTTGATTAGCGACAAAAAGCTTAAAGCCGAAGTTAATTATTTTCCACTGATTATCTGAGCAAACCATTTCAGCCACTAAGTGAACTTGAGCAAACAATCTGAATTAAGCACTGCACAAACCTCTGAGGCCACTCATAAACTGTATACTTAAATGGTTAAACTATTATTTAGGACGGTTCTGCATTCTGAAAACTCTGGTTCTATACCTAAACTTAAGCCCTAAAACTAATATATCCCCGAATCTATACTTCTGGCCCTAATATAACATTATTTCGCCGCGCGCTCCTTGAATACGACGTGCCTTTTCCTCTCCAACCGGATAATACCTGTTTTGTGAATTATCCTCCTGGGAAACCTGATCTTCCTATCCATTGAATTATATTCAACCATTACTTACATACTGAATCTCTCTGTGGTAAGTCCAGCTGACTCGAACTACTACCAAAGCTTCAGGTGCCACTTCTGTAGCAGCATCTTCCTCACTTTTTCAGATGTGCAAGACTTGTTGGTCTACCACGTGATTGCTGTGAAGCCGATCATCCAGAAAGTACTAGGTAGAGTCGGAAACCTTTTTTTCCTCATCTTGTACTTTACCAGCCTTATTCTTGTTCTTGTGCGTAGATACCATTGCTCTCATATTCGTATATAGCACAAGTTATTTATTATTATTATTGCTCCCTTGGGTTCCTAGTGGAACATAGGGCTTCAACTCCACGTCTCCATTTTATTCTGTCTTCTGCTGTACTTTTCGCCTTCATCCATGTTAGTCCATATTCTTTCAACTCCTCTTCATACGATCTCCTCCATGTCACCATTGCACTGACGTCCCACACGCCGCTTCCTTTTCGGGTTCCACTCGAGAGCTTGACGCGCGATGTCACCCAGCGGGCTCCTCAGCGAGTGTCCGATCCATCTCCACTTTCTCCTGCATATTTGTTGGGCGATTGGTTCTTGCTTTGTTTGTTCCGATAATTCGTTGTTGGTGATTCCTTCCGGCCATCTGATCTTTAGTATAGAGCGAAGACAGTTGTTAATAAAGGTCTGCAACCTTTTGGAAATATTCTTTGTGACCCGCCAAGTTTCTGATCCGTATAGAATAACTGACTTCACGTGTTTGTATTGAAGATCCTACCGAATTTTGTTATTGATGCTGAGTGACGAACATTTCTAGATTGGCTTCATGTTGATGGAAGTGTTTCTCGCCTTCCGATTCTCGCTCGATTTGACATAATCGTCCGCTTCTCCTGTAGTTGAGGCAATGCTCCCTTGATAAGTCAATGAAGTAACCTCTTTCAAATCCCTCCCGTTGATGGTGATTGGCGCTGGATGTTGATGTTGTTGTTGGTTGGTTATTTTCATAACCTGTGTCTTGTCTACGTTCACTTGGAGTCCTGTCTTAGTCGGCTGCTTCTTCGACCAGTTTATCGGTTTTCGCTTGTAAGTCTTCGATTTTGTGTGATATCAAACATAAATCATCCACGCGCGAAATCCGGGTCTTCTAGGTTCTTCACGCCGGTCGGTCCAGGATATCCCTGTCTTCGCGCTTCCCACTGTCTGACGCAAATCCAGTCAGTCCACCACAATTAGGAATGTCATTGGTGATAATAGGCACGCACCTTTGTCTGACTCCTGTGTTTACTCCAAACGCCTCGCTGAGTTTTCCGTTGTGAATCACTTGACATGTGTCGTTGTCGTGCAACTGTTGAATACGATTGATGAATATTTGGACGCTGCACGCCTTATTACTCGAGTAGTTTCCAAATTACTTCACGATCAACGCTGTCGAAGGCCTTCTCAAAGTCTTTAAAGTTGAGGTAGAGGTTTGACTGCCATTCCATGCTTTGTTCTGTGATGATGATGCGTAGAGTTGCAATTTGGTCAGTATATGATTTGCCTTTCCTGAATCCAGCTTGTTCTGGTCGGAGTTCTGTCTCCACTGCGTCCTTTAATCTCTCCAGGATGATGCGACTCAGGATTTTACTTTGCGTCGACAGGAGCATGATTCCTCGCCAGTTCTTGCAGAGTAAGGCGTAAGTCGCCCTTCTTTGGTAGTTTCACGAGGTAACCTTTCCTCCAGTCAGTAGGCACCTTTCCCTCCTTCCAGACTTTTGCAATAATTGAGTCAGATGCTTGCTGTAGTCTCTGGGTCTGCTTTGAGTGCTTCAGGGGGTATTCCATCTGGTCCGGCTGCTTTTCCAGCTTTCAGAAGCTTGATTGCGTTCAAGACTTCAGCTTTCGTTGGAGGATTGGTGTAAACTTGCAGTTGTTTCGCGCTGTTGTTGGTATTTCTGGACGGGTTGCAGGTGGTGGTCGGTACAAGAGTCCTTTGAAGTGACCCGCCCATTGTTTAATCTGTTTTTCTTCCTTGATAATGGGCTTCCCTTGGCTGTATTTTATAGGTTTCGCTTGTGTTGGTCTCTTCCCGGATAGAGATTTGGTTATCTCATATAGTGTCCTCAGGTCCATTTTGCCTGCTGCATTCTCAGCTTCAGTAGCTAGATTGTCGTAGAATCATCTTTTGTCCTTCCTAGCAATCTTCTTCACTTCTTTGTCCAGTGCTGTGTAAATTGAGCTCATCGTCTCCTTCTCCTGTCCATCCTTTCATTGAATCATTTTCTCTTTCACCATTCTCCTCTCTTCTATTAGCTTCCAAGTGTCCGTTGAGAGCCATTCCTTATATTGTCTCTCCTTTCTTCCTAGAACCGTTGTCAATGGAGTTGAAGATTGAACGATCAATTCATGGTTGTTTGCTCAAAATCAACTTCCCCAATTTTCGCGGAGGCATCAATACGACAGTCATCGTCTCATCGGTCGCTGTTCAGAAAGAAGAGTGAAACATCGTCAGAAGTAATACAGAGATTTATTATTGTAATATTTGTTTTCAGACCTTAGTTCGCTTATTCCTTTTATATGTTGGTGTAACAATAAACAAATATCAAGCGGCAGATCGGTGTTTTGGTTTTCGCGTCCGTTATAACTAAGCGTTTCTGAATTCTTCGAAGAACAGCGTGGGCCCGAGCGTAGCGAGAGCTGGGCATTAACGGTTTATGAGACGTGATTGGCAGTTTTTGACGATGGAAACAGATTCTGGCGGATTCACACAGTTGGTGAAAGTTTGGATAGTCACCGTTCATCTTTCCTGGTGCCGGTCAAGTCCTCTTTGAACAAGCAATATCTGGAAGGTTTTTGGAATTGGTTCAAGTTCAACAATGCCTGGGTCAAAGAAGGGACAGAGCGTCTTGGATGCAAACAGGAAAGTAAGTCATGGTGACTTGTCTGTTAATTGTAACGATGTGTCTGATGTTAAGCATGACATGGTTGATGTTACTGTCTCGCCGTTCAGGGATAATAGGAACATCAAACTCCCTAAATTTGAACCACGGTGTTTCGATGGAAACCCGGCTGATTATTTACAATTTGTAAAGGAGTTTGAGATCATGCTAACTGGTTTTTTATTAACTGATGAAATGAAGTTAATGTATTTGATGAGATATTGCACTGGAGTTGCTGCAAGAGCTATACAGTGCTGTAAGTTTATGAAGCCAAAAGAAGGCTACTACAAGGCTTTGAGCATACTGCGTCAAAGGTTTGGAAGACCTTCGATGATTGCAGGGAAATTATTCGAGGCTGTTAAGGGTAATGGTGGTCAATTACAGGATGACTCCCAGGCACTCACTGAGCTTTTGGATAATTTGCTGATTTACAAGAATGCATTGATTTCGATGAATTGCATGAGTGACCTCAACTCGAGTTTTATCCTAGAAGTAATAGCAAGACGCCTACCTACT